ATCCGGGCCTGGAAGAGAAAGAAAGGGCAGACAGCCCCTTCCATGGAAAGGGAAGAGCCTGGGCCTGGCTGATACAGAGGTGGTGAGGGAGTGGGTGGGACCCTGACTGGGTGGTGTTGGAGTAGGGGGGGGCACACCTAAAAATACTGGTGCCAGGAGGCAGGGTGGGAGGAGAGCCTGAGAGAAAGGCAGGCCTGTAGATAAGCGTACATGGTCTGGCCCATGTGGACCAGGGGAGGGCACAGCATCGGACTCAGCAGACCCAGGCCCACACCCCATCTCTGCTAAGCCCACCATGTACCCTTGGGGGAATCACTTCACCTCTGTAAGCGTCCATGGAGTGAAGAGTTGTCCTGGCCTTGCCCTGCTGCCTCCTGGAACTGCTTATCAGCATCAAGTGGTGTCAAGGTTGTAGGAATCCTTGGGACTCTGTTGCTACCACTTCTACTGAGAGGGGAGCAAGTGGAGGTCAGTGTGCAGGGTAGGGGGCTCTCACGGATCCACAGCTGCCTCCTCTAGAGGGACTACAATGCCCCCCTCCCCAAAACTCACGTCTTGACCCAGCTTTGCAGTGTCACTGGAGCCTCCCACACCCCATCCAAATTCCGCTTCCCTGTGGAGGGAGTGCATGCTGCAGGAACAGGAAGCACATACGTTACACACAGGCGACTCCGGGAGGCACAGACCCAGGCTTACATAAATGCTTTATTTTATGTCATTAGACGCCGGAAGTCGCTTTGGGTCAGGCTCGGCCATCTTTTCATCCATTTTACCAGGTCATTTCATCCGTCCTCCGGTCTCCAGGCACAACACACTGGGATCATTGAGCCATATGCCTTCTCCATCACGCAGGAGGGCACCCCAGGACTGGCAAGACCCAGGTCTACCCTGTATCCAGCCTGCTGCACATCCGGCCCTCGCTCGACTCCAGCTGCCACAGAAAGCTGTTGGGCGATTTCAAAATAGAGGCTTTTCTTCCTCCAGAGAGAAATGGAGCGGGCAGCTGCTGCTGCAGCTCCTGGGCCGCCCACTCGTCTCAGGTGACACCCCCAACCTCCTGGGTGTGCAGTGGGAATCCCGGCTGGGTGTCCTTTAGTTGAGTATCTGTCCTTGAGCCTTCACCCTCCCAACCTCTTCTATCAGGAGAAGGTGAGAGGGAGCTGGCAGAGCTGTCTGAGCTGTCCAGTGCCACACTGAACCTCTCCCCATCCCCTCAAGGAAAGCCTGCCCTCACACGCCCTCCCCCACTGGTTAGCAGGTACGCAGGCTCTCGCTGGGCTGGCAGGCCTGGAAATCCCCGCATCAGCGTTTTCCGCAGACTGGGGTCCGTGACTCGCTATTGAGCTGCTGCTGTTCCGAGAGGCTCCAGCCCCGCGAGGAGCCGCGGACGATGCGGCATTGCGGTGGCCTGGCTTCTGGAGTGATGTCGGCAGGCAGGGTGGGGCAGGGGACACCGCGGGAGGGGAGAGGAGGGCACTAGCTCTTCACACTGGGAATTTCTGGGGTTCCTCAGGCTCGGGAATCGGAAGCCAGGGGTGGGTATAGGGCGGGGGGGAGGGGGGAAGCACACATACACACACACACACACACTGAATGTGATCCCTCCCAACACACACAAAGGATTTTTTGGAGTCCCTTCCTGGGTGGGTCCCCAAACTTATCATGATTCTGAGTGTGCAGAATTGAACAAGAGGCAAACAGGAAGGAATTTTTGCTGGGGGTGCAGGAGACGCCGCTAAGACAAGGGCGTGGGGGCGGGGCGGGGCGGGGCAGGACTGGGACGGGCAATGGGACCCTGAGCCCCGCCAGCGACGGCCTGGATTCGCCGCTAGTGGGTGTTAAGGGTAGAGGATGCGCCACAAGGCGAAGCTTGAGCCCCCAGGGGAGGGGCATAGGAGGCTCCCTGTTCCCATTGCCCACTCCGGGCCTTGTAAGTCTGGCCCTCCCCGCGATCTGGGTGAGTGCACACCTTGAGGAGCAGAGCTGTGGTAGCGGGAGGTTGTGAGGCCCCCAGAGTGGAGACTTCTGGGGCGGGGGTGGGAGGGTCATTGGAGGAGTCCGTGCCCAGGGTTCTAAGCCGGCGACCTGTTTCTCCTTCCCTCCCAGGCCCTCTTCCTGCCTGACTTCTCTCTTCCTCACTGGCCGGTGGCCAGCACTGGGCGCCGGTCCCCGCTCTACTGTCCCCTCCGCACGCTGGGACTCTCTGGGGCGGACGCCTCCCAACTCGCCACCAGCGCCCTTTGGTTTCCCTGGCTTCTCCCTATTCTTTTCTTCCCCGACTCAGGAAAACCTTCATCCGTGTCTCCTGAAGCCAGTCGGCTCTCTCCTACTCCCCCGCTGGTTAGCGCGGGCGGGGAGGGAGCCCCCTTACCACCCCTCCCCCATGCAATCCCCTCCCCCACCCACTCCCAGAGGCTCGTAAAACTCATGGGTGGAGGAGGCGGGGTGGGAGTGCCGCAGGAGGGCTCGCAGTGGGCGGGACTCCTCCGCAGAGCCGGGGGAGCCCCTCGGGGCTCCGGGGGCGCTCGAAGGCGGCCCCGCCCACCCCACCCTAAACTTCTCCCGGACTGCGCCAGGTTCATCACTCCCCCACCCCCGACACAAGCCCCATTCCCCTGGCACGACACCTCCCCCTTCCCCGCGGTCCCTCCCCCTCCTCCCACGGGCGGTCCGGTCCAAGCTGGGGGGCCCGGGGGCGCGCAGAGGCAGTCTCTCCCGGCGAGGATGCCCAGGATGGGGGGCTTGCAGGGCAGCCTGCGGGGATCGCCTTCGGAGGGGCCGGCCCGCGCCGCGTGCAAGCGGATGTGAGGAGCATCTCAATCGGCGGGCGGGGGAGCGGGCTCAGGTTGTTACTACTGCAGAGAGGGAGAGAGAGAGAGAGCTAGCGAGCGAGAGAGCGCAAGCGAGCGCGAGCCGAGGGAGCCGCTGGGCTGCAGGAGAGCGGTAGCACTCGGCCGGCCGCGAAGTGGGGATCGGGTACTGGACGCAGGACCCCCGCGGCCTCTCCCTCGCCCTCGCCGCGAGCTCAGCGACTTCCCCGGGTAAGAGGGTGCCCCGGGCCGGGCACCCTGCGAGGGCAGCCCCGAATCCCGAGCGAAGCCGCGGGGCCACAGCGACCGCCCGCGGGTCACCAAACGGGGGATGAGGGGCGGGGGACATTCTGACTTTCGGGGCTTGGGGCTCACAGCGGGTGAACTAAGTGAGGTCGGAGCCCAAGGTCCGGGACTGCGCTCCGGAAATCGATTTGCGCTGGGATTACCGGGTCAGTCCCTGGGGAGGTGCCCTGGATTATCCCTGGAGCCCCTAGCCCCCCGTTCCCTTTCATCTTGCTGGGGGCGGGGGAGGCGCTGGCGACAGCGGCCGGGGTGATCCGCGTCGGGACTAGGGGACTCTGGGGTGAAGCGGAGGGCCCGCCGCTGAGAAAGCACTGGGAGGGGTGCGGAGGAGCGCGGTGGAAGAGGGTATGCGGTAAGAGGAGCCCAAGGATGGGCTTTGGGTGCGGGGCACGTGGGACCCCCTCCGACCCCGCCGCAGTGAGGAGGAGCTACGGGCTCCGCTCGTGCGTAGCTCGGGAGCCCCCTGGCGCGAAGTGGGACGCACCAGGGGGACTGGCGGCTTGTGGGTTCCCCCGTGCGTTCCGCAGCGGTCCAGGGCTGGGCGCACCGCTGCGACTGCCGCCCCTTCCTCTTCCCGGAACTTTCCCCGACTTCAGCCAGCGTCGTGGCTCAGAACGTTGGAGGAGGAAGCTGGGTATGCAGGATCCTGACCAGCGGCGGAGCCCGGACCGACCGGGTGGGGAATGGGGGTGGGGAAGGGCTAGCTGGGTTCCCTATGTCTTGCTGTGTGACCTTGGACACGCCGCTGCACCTCTCTGGACCTCAAGATGGTGAAGGTGTGTGGTGCCCCAGGTGCGAGTGGGACGTGATAGGAGGAAGGGGCTTAGGTTCACCAGTGCACGGCCGTCCTGCCCTGTGCCGGTGGTAAGCCCTGGCCTCTTTGTGGCCCGCTGAGCGCTCACTTCCAGAAGACAGAGGCGACAGTGGCAGTGCAGCGCTGCGAACCCAGCGCCCCTCGGAGAATCTGGGAGCTTGACCCATCCTTTGACCTTGGTCAAGCTTCTTACCCCTGCGGACCTCAGGACTTTACCTGGAAAATGATTGGGCACATGTGGGTTGGAGGCTCTCCCAACCCAACACCTGCTGGCCTCAATGCTTCAGGTGAGGCCTTAGGAAGGGATGGGGGTGGGGCACAGTCTCATTCACACAATTTCTTCTTTGACCTACACGCCCCCCAAAAGACATCAGGCTTGCCAGACCCTTGGCCCAGCCTACCCACCTTCCCTGCACCCAAAGAGTCTCCAGATGGTGGGGACAATGGCTTGCTTTCCAGCACCAAGTACAGGTTCCTCATCTTTGCAAGGGGCAGTGCCTTTCCTGGAGGAGGTTCTCTGTGGCCCATGGGAGACCTGGGAGCTTGCTTCGGGGCTAAGGGGATGCCAAGGGCTCCCAAGGTCATGCTGCGTGTCCCTGTGTCAGCAGGCAGTATGGCATCCACCCCAGTCAAGGATGGGCTGAAGGAATTCCCCGGGTTTTCAAAGGTCTCCACTACTGGGGTCAGTCCAGAGCATCGCTCTGTGCGGTCAGAGCAGGTTTCTTTGGCCCTCATCTGGCTCCTCCTTGGGTAGACTCAGGGTCAGTCTTCAGGAAAGAAGAGAAAATAGCTTCTCACCGGGGCCTCAGGATTTCTGTGGAAAGAATCCTGCTTTAAAACAGTAGAGCTGAAGTTCATTCTAGCCTCTGCCTTTAATGTGTGACCTTGTGTGACCTTGGGCCAGTCCCTTTCTTGCTTTCCTCACTTGGAAATTGAGAGGTCTGAATTACCTACTGCCCACTCACCCCAAAACAAACACGCAAACAAACAAAAACCCAAACTCACTGCCACCCAGTCCATGCTGACTCACAGTGATCCTATTGGGCAGGGTGGAACTGCTTCTGTGAGTTTCCAAGACTGACACTCTTTACAGCTGTAGAAAGCCCCATCTTTCTTCTTTGGAGCAGTTCGTGGGTTCAAACTGCTGACCTTGCAGTTAGCAGCCCAACACTACGCCACCAGGGCTCCCTAGATACTTCCCAGGCCCCTGAAATTCACTGACTGAAGTCCTGAGCTAGTGTTTGAATTGCAGGAAGTAGGCCTGGCAGGGCGACGGGGCCAGGTGGTCTCTAAAAGGGTCCAGGGCAGCTCTCCATGCCACCACCCCTCCCACCTCCAGACGAAACAACTTGAGACAAAATGCTTAGCCTGAGTGGGACCCTGCCCAAGGCCCTGCACGCTCTGCCTTGACTGGTTAGTGGAACCTTGAACAAGTTACATCTTTGAGCTTCAGCTACTTGCGTGTCAAAAGAATGCTAACAGTGGTAGTTTTGTAGGGTTGTTGTGAGGATTATGCCAAAACACGTGTACAGTACTTAGTCCAATGTCCAAGCCCTCCTAAACGCTCAGTAAGGGGTAGAACTTGTTCATGGTATAGTACAGGCCCTGTAGCAAGCAGGTAGCAGGGCAGCCGGCCCCGTGCTGTGCGCAGAGACCCTGGGGAGCAGGGAAGATTTGTGGACCTGCTCTGGGATCTTCATCTACTGCTTCCAGCGCTTCCTACACAAGGGGGTAGCAGCAGCACCACGCACTACTCGCTCGCTCGCTCGCTCGCTCGCTCACTCTTAGTTACTGTGCAGTACAAACGTCATAGGAGGGAACTGTTGGGCTTCCTGGAGTCTCACCTTATCTTCCTCAGGTTCTCCTTCCCCGACTGGGCCTCACGGCTTGTCCTTCTGTGGTTATGAGAGAAACAGGCCTTTTCCTCCACCCCTGGAATCCTGAAACCCTCAACCCCCTCCATGCCCCCCCCCCCACTTCATGAACTTCCAGGAATGAGCCCTCTGAGAGCTAGAAAGAGGTGAAGTGATGTCCCTGGAAGCACAGTCTACCTAAGAGGCAGGGGGTCTGGAGGGAGTGGCAAGAGACCACTGGGGGACCCGGGATGCCAGCGCCACACCTGGCAGGTACCCTGTGGGGTGGGGAGAGGGGTGGTGGGCCTGGACTTTGCTTTTCCCTAGACGCCTTGTGTGACTGTAGGCAATTTGCCTGTTTCTGGGCTGCAGCTTCGTTAGGTTTAGTTCAGGGGTTGACAAACTTGAGACGGAAGAGCCAATCCTGTCCCTCACAACAATTTAGAAATGATCTGAGATCCATACATTTACTTTTACAAGCAAATGAGATTCACCATTGTCTGAATAATATCCTTTACACACTTCCCATTTTACTTCAGGGCCACATATACTCCGGAAGAACTGTCCGTAGCTTGTGAGTTGTAGTTTGCCGACCCCTGGTTTAGTTCATAGGTTCTCAAACTTATGTGGCTTACCCTCTTTTCAGGGAAAAAAAATTACTCAGCACCCCTCTGGCAATGGAAAACGTTTGTGCGTATCACCCACAAGCCAGGAAGAAAGGTTAAGTACTTGATGGCTGCAGAGCCGCCAGGGGGGCGTCAGCTTGGGGAAACACCGGTTGAAGCCCAGGCCCTTGACCCCATGTTTGTGGCTCTCTTGGCTCTGCTCTTGCCAAGACTGGGAGGTTAGGGTGGGAGGTATGGGTTCCCACCCTATTACCTGTCTGGGAAAAGGCTTGTGAACACTGCCTTCATAGCTGACTACTAAGAGCAAAGTCTTGGAAGATCAAAGGATTCAGGTTCTCTGAATCTTACTTAGCTATGTGAACTTGAGCAAATTACCTCACCTCTCTGAGCCTCGCTATCTCATCTGTGAAATGGGATCAATCTGTCCCACCTCCTTGGGTTCTTAGGATGAGTGCATAGGAGTACTTTACTTAACAATCCTGGATGAGGGGGTGCTCTGGGGTTGTCATGGGTTGTTTTTTTGGGGCCGTGGCAGCCTAGAGAGAGGCCCTGGTTAGAGGGCAGGCAGCAGCAGAGCCCTAAGCCCTGCAGCTGTCACCACGCACAGGCTTCTGAAGATTGCCCTAATTTTCCGTGCCCTGCTCCTGCTGCGAGCTGACTGCAGATTGAGGGAGTCTGCATGCACAGGCCCTGGTGCGGGGGCTTGCAGAGTGGGGCTCTGGCCACAGGGGGCTGCAAGCTGAGGGTAGCATGGAAGCTGACCGGAGGCTCCAGGTGAGGAGGAAACACAAGTCTGCAGGGTGACAGCCTTCCATCCAAGGTTAGTCACGAGGGAAGGGCCGGAGCCACGAACAAGGTGCTGTCAGAGGCTGAAGGAGCCCTCCCAACCCCTTCTCTGATGTCAGTTATGGGAAACAGACTCAGAGATGGAGCACACCTAGCCTGGGCTCCTGCAGCATGGTGGCAGCAGTAGAGGGGGCACCTGCCGTGGTACCTCAGACCCATGCTCTACCTCCCATCCTTTCCCTCAGGCACCAAGTAGTCCTGTCCAGTCTTCCGTACAAGCAAAGCAGAGCACATGGGACGTGTCCTTCCTGGCCTAGGAACAGGTGACTGGGCTCAACACCCCCATTTTGTGGACTAGCACACGGAGGTCCCCGGCAATGAAAGGCCTCGCATAAGGTGGCCCAGTGTCAGAGCGGAGCCCGAACGTCAGCTGCCACGTGCTGCTCCCGGTCACGTGGCACATGGCAGCAGGGCAGTCCGACTCTGAAAGGACAAACCCAGGTGGCCCAGGGAAAGCAGGAGAACAAAAGGCCCAGCGATGAGCAGACTCTTGTCTCTCGGTGGCCCAGCTCGGAGGCTGACCTCCCGCCTTGCCCTCCGAGAGGAAGGAGACAATAGGCAGCCCCACTGGCCTCAGTCCCAGCGGCAATGCTGGGAGTGAAAAAAGTCAATATTTGCCCAGTGGCAGAGGCCGGGAAGGAAGTCTGAGTTGGCGGCATGTGGAGAGGGAAAGGCTGATGGAGCGATGGGCAGAGGTAGGGCCTGGTGTGAGGATTTTGGCATTAAGTAACCTTTTGTGTTTCAGTCTGCTCCACCCTTCGCCCATCCCTAATCACCCCCACCCCA